CGACCGCCTTTGTTCGACGGCGAGCCAAAAGCCGCCGCCGCCGCTGCCGCCGCCGCCAGGGTAACCGGAGTTTTGCGTGACGATGGTTTGACGATGGTTTGACGATGGTTTGACGCTCCTTGGCGAGGTGTTGCCGCGGCTGTTTTTTTTTTTGCGGCAAGCCGCTTCGTTGCTTGACGGGGAAGAGTTCAGTTTCAGTTCAGTTTATTTTGGTATAGTCCTGTGAGCCATTCGGCAAGAAAAACATCTTAAAGTGACTTGGTGTGACTGTGCAAACAGAAAATCCATGGAAAAAAAAAACAGCAAAAATATTCCTGAAAAAGAGGGGAGGGAAAGGAGACGCCGTGACTGTGCGTAATGTAAGTTGACAATTTTAACGCTACTGTACAAGCAAAGGCAAAAGATCCCCCTTGCCCACAAATAGCCGTCCAGGCTGTTGCGGTCAAGTGCTATTGGCGAGGCTGGCACGGCACACGAGGAAGCTGTGGCCAACATCGGTGGGGAGCTATGGAGGCCGTCCCCGAATGCGCTTCCTCCTGATAATTAGGAAGCCTCTGGTAGCTATGGCACTTTTAAATCATCGTCTGGATTGAAAGCAAATTTCTTTAGAACTGCTTTTTCGTGTTTGTTCTTCCGCCCGCCCCCGTACCTCCGATTAGCGCGGTTGGCCACGTACTGTGCGAAAGAAGTTCAACATACATACACACAACAGCTCGTGCTTCGGCAAGAAGGGGTGGGGGGGGAGGTGCTGGGTTCGATTCCCAAGTCCTGGGACTCTTTTTCACGGTGGAGTTTAAATCTTCAACCCCCCCTCCCCCCCCCACTGGTCTGCATGGGTTTCTCCCGGGACCCCCTGGATCCTCCTGGGTGGTTGGCATCGCTCATGTGGTGATGTTAATTGAACACGTGGTGCCGTAATTTGTACCGTGGTGGTGGTGGGGGTGGTGTTGGGGGTGGTTGGGTTTGTATGGTGGTATTGGTGTGGTTATTTTAGGGTCGTTGTGTGGTTCTAGTGGTTACGTGGGTGGCATTGTGGGGGGAGCGGCGGTGTAGCGGTTAGCGCTACGCTGCGCTACGAACCCGGCGACTCGAGTTCGATTCCCGCTCACGGCACAACACCCAGTGACGATTATCTGAACAGGTCGCGGGCCTCCCCTGGGTCGACTCGGCCACAATTGAGTACCTGGCGGGATGTGTAAAACCATCGCCACTGGGGAGACAAAGGTGGCCGGGTGTGGTTCTGGCCACCCAACCCCACTCGTGTGCCGTTCCGGCTTTCGTAGGTGCTACTCGCTAACAGCACTTGTCCCGACAGTCTGTTCAGGCTTACACGGTGGCTCTTTGTCATTTGGTGGACTGGTTTGTGTGGTGGTGGTGGTGGTATCGCTGTGGTTTTAGTGTGGTCGGGTGGCTGCATGAGTGTAGGGTCCATGTGGTTCGGTGGGGCGGTATTCGTGCGGTCGGTGTGGTTTGGGTTTGTACTGTGGTGGTGGTGGTGGTGATGGTGTCACTGTCGTGTCAGCAGCGTGGTTGCTGTGCAGGTGGCAGGGCGCGTGGGTAACGCGATACACCGTTGCCAGCTGCCGCGGCTAAGTTTGGGAGAGCGGAGTGAGGAGTGGGACACGTGCGCTCTCTCTCTCTCTCCGCGAACACGCGGCAGAAACGGAACTCGCAGCTCCCACATTTGCCGCCGGCAGCGTGTTTCCCTGGTGCTGCCTGCTGGCCGGTGTGGAATCGAGAAGCGCAGAGATGGAGCGGATACAAATAAACGAAACTGTTTTTATTTTTTTATTTTACCGGGTAAGGCCCCCACTGAGCTTTACAGGGACTTCTTCACTTACGAACATTCGACTTACGAACTTTCAGAGATGCGGGCGAACCTGGTCCGTGTGTACAGTTGTCTGTTCGGACCGAGAGTCAGGACCCAAACAGCGAAAGGTTTCCTAAGGTGTCAGCAGCTGTTCACGATGCTATTGCCTGTTACAAGTTGATTTATGAAGAGTAGAAGAAGAGGGCTACTGTGCAGACATCTCTCGGTAAGTTTATTCAAGAGGGTAGAGTTGGAACACGAGCACCAAAGGGAATTAGCTTCTACATCTGCAGAACGCGAAGAACCAGTGGCATCTACCTGCAGAACGTGAAGAACCAGTGGCATCTACATCTGTAGAAGATGAAGAACCAGTGGCATCTACATCTGCAGAACGTGAAGAACCAGTGGCATCTACATCTGCAGAACGTGAAGAACCAGTGGCATCTACATCTACAGGAGATTATACAACTTTAAAAGCCATTACCCGTGTGTAGTGTACATGGCCGTACAACATGTTTGGAATCGACAGGAGTAAGTTGGACTTACGAACAAATCGACTTATGAACAGCCCTCTGGAATCTAACTCGTTCCTAAGTAGAGGAGTCACTGTATAGCTCTACTGTATTTCAGAAACGACCTGGCCACAAATGATAGCTGAATGAAGTGTCGGCCTTCATAGGTGCCACTCGCTAACAGCACTTGCCCCAACGGTCTGTTGCAGGCTACACGGGTGATCTTTGTCTTTGTACGTGTGTATAGGTGCCACTCGCTAACAGAACTTGCCCCAACGGTCAGCTAAGGCTATCAGGGTGGGCGGGAGTTCTTTGTCTTTGCTGGGTTCTGCAGTGTCTCGAACTCCGTGTTAGGGGCCGTCCATAAATGACGTCACGCACCTGGGGGGGGGGGGTCAGACATTTGTGACGATGTGTGACGAAGGGGGGGGGGAGGTTTGAGAACTGTGACGTCACATCAAAATTCGCAACTTTAAAAAAATATAGACAACACGTTCTACTTAATTAAATACCTTTTTAATAAATATTTTCTACAACATCAGAGTGCAGCGTCACATTAAACACGCACTACAATGACAATAGTTTAAAGCGATTTAAGGCATTTTTTTTGGGGGGGGGGGCGGCAGAGCTTTGTGACGTCACTTGAGGGGGGTGTGTCTGACTTTTTGTGACGAAGGGGAGGGGGGGGGGAGTCAAAAATCCTCCAAAATCTCGTGACGTCATTTATGGACGGGCCCCCCTTACCTCTTGCGAACAACCGCACGGACCAGTGGCACGGGCGACCATTGGCACAGAGCACCGAACGACACGTCGAGGGTGCGCAGAGACAAGCGTGGGGAGGGAAGCGCATTTTGACCCTCCTGAAATACAAAAAAAAGCCCCGAGCCTTGACGGCGATCGTGGGTCGACGGATGGCGTGACGGCGCTGCGATGTCATTGACGCTGAAACATCATTCTCCGGGAGTAAAGCTCGTGCCGAGCATTGCGATGGTGTCGCTAAACGACCGCCGGGTGGCCACTGCCGAGTGCAGGATGGAGCTCTCTGGTTGTTTGAACGTCTGCGCTGTGCTGACGGCAACCAAAGCGAGTGCGGTCACATGGCCTTAGTGAGGGTTTTGTGTGTGCACGTGCGTGTGTGTGTGTGCGTGTGTACACGTGCGTGTGTGTGTGTAGCGGTTAGCGTGCTGCGCTATGAACCCGGCGACACGGGTTCAATTCCCGCTCACGGCCAACACCAGTGACAATTATCTGAACCGGTCCTGGGCCTCCCCTAGGTCGACTCGGCCTCAAATGAGTCCCTGGTGCGGTGTGTAAACATCGCCACTGGGGGAGACAAAGGCGGTCGGGCGTGGTGCTGGCCACTCAACCCCCATCGTGTGCCGTTCCGGCCTTCATAGGTGCTCGCTAACAGCACTTGCCCCGAGAGCCTGTTAATGGTTATACGGGGAATCTTTGTATGTGTCTGTATGTGTTTGTCTGTGTTTGTGTAGCTGTGTGTCTTTGTGTATATCTGTTTGCCATTTTGTCTACGTGTGTGTCTGTGTATCTTTTTCTTTGTGCGGGGAGCGGTGGTGTAGCGGTTAGCGCTACGAACCCAACTGATGTGAGTTCGGTTCCCGTTCACGGCCAATACCAGTGACGATTGTCGAACAGGTCCTGGACCTCGCCGAGATTGAAAATGAGTAACTGGTACGGTGTGCAAACATCGACACCAGGGAGACAAAGGCGGTCGGGCGTGGTGTTGGCCACCCACCTCGTGTACCTTTCTGGCCTTCGTAGGTGCTCGCTAACAGCTCTTGCCCCAACAGTCTATTAAGGCTATACGGGGGATCTTTATCTTTGTATGTGAGAGAGCACGTGGTGTCATTGAGCTCCTGGCACCCTGCCCCTGCACACGTGCTCGCCGTGGCCCTCTCAGTGACTCATTGGGCAAGCATGACGATGATGATCTTAATGAAGAATCTGTGATGATAATGTCGAAGATGCTGTGATAATGGTGAAGATGCTGTGATAATGACGACATGATGTTGATGAAGATGATGCTGTGATAATGATGATGCTGTGATGATGATGATGCTGTGATAATGACGATGATGAAGATGCTGTGATGTTGATGAAGATGATGCTGTGCTAATGATGATGATGCTGTGCTAATGATTGATGCTGTGATAATGATGAAGATACTGTGATAATGATGATGATGCTGTGATAATGATGAAGATGCTGTGCTGATGATGATGCTGTGATAATGATGAAGATGCTGTGCTAATGATTGATGCTGTGATAATGATGAAGATACTGTGATAATGATGATGATGATGCTGTGATAATGAAGATGATGCTGCGATAGTAACGATGACGGGGATGAAGATGACGATGCTTTGATTTTATGGCGATGATGCTGCCTCTGCTGCTGCTGGTGACAATGCTGACGACGGCTCCATCATCATCATCATCAATGATGACGACGATAACGATGATGGTGACGCCGTTGCCTCTGCTGCTACCGACGATGATGACGACGACGTTGTTGATGACGACGACGATGTTGATGACGACAATGATGATGACGACGATGATGATGACGGTGCTGTTGTTGTTGATGACGTTGACTACGTTGACCAAAATGATGCCCACCACGACGACGATGGTTAACACCTCGGGTGGTGGTGGCGCAGTGGTGGAGCTGCTGCTGTGGCGGGAGCCGCTGCGCTCGGGCGCCGTGTCCGCGACGCTGCTCGGGTTCCTGCTGGCGCTCACCACGTGGAGCATCGTGAGCGTGCTGGCCTACGGCTCGCTCGCCGTGCTCTCGCTCACCCTCACGCTGCGCGTCTACCGCTGCCTGCTCAAGGCCGTGCAGAAGTCCGACGCCCCCCATCCCTTCCAGTGGGTGCCCCCCCCCCCCACCACCACCACCGCTGCTAACACCGCACCACCACGATGACCGCCACCATGACACCCCACCACACACACACCACCACACACAGACACACCACCACACACTCACACACCACCACACACTCACACACCACCACACACTCACACACCACAACACACTCACACACCACAACACACTCACACACCACAACACACTCACACACACACCAGCACACACACACACCACCACACACACACACCACACACACACACGCCACCACCACACACACACACCAGCACACACACACACCAGCACACACACACACCAGCACACACACACACCACACACACACGCCACCACACACACACACGCCACCACCACACACACACACCAGCACACACACACACCAGCACACACACACACCAGCACACACACACACCAGCACACACACACACCAGCACACACACACACCACCACACCCACACACTCACACACCACCACACACACACCACCACCACCACACACTCACACACCACCACACACTCACACACCACCACCACGACACACCACCACCACGACACACCACACACACACACACCACCACACCACCACACACAACAACAATAACAACAACAACCGCCATTCGCCACTAAGTGGCGGTGACGTCACCACGACGCTTGTGCCAGGACATGTGCACCTTGAGGCCACGTGGAGTGTTGAACTTTCAGCCCGCTGGCAGGAGGTCACGGGGCAGACCCAGGTGCCACGGGTCGACTGACTGAGATGACTGGCTGATGCACCACCTGTGCCCCCTACTGTGCCAACCTGCTGTGCTTTAGCCACCCGGCGCTCCACTCGTTGTTGTGAGCGTCGCTCCTCCGCCCTCCGTTGTTGTTGGAGGGCGACTACCTCCAACTGCCCAGTAGCATCCTTCACGAGCCTCCTCCACAGAGGCCGATCTTGACACCGCTGGTACCAGTCATCGGCAAGTCCACTCAGCTCCACGTCCTCCTGTACCACATCACTCCATCTCTTCTCTAGCCCGTGCCGCGCCCGCTTAGCCCCCTCGATCCGGCCGAACAAAAGCTGTTTCGGCATGCGGTGGCTGGGCATGCGGGCTACATGACCCAGCCATCGCAGCCTTGCCCGCCAGAGGAGCTCACCGATGGGACCTTGCCCAGATCTTTCAAGGATTTGTGAGCTCCTCACACAATCCAGTCTGGTTAAACCCAGGATGGATCGTAGGCAGTCCAGCCTAAATGTTTCTAACCGGCGAAGATGTTCCATTAGGGGGGTCCACCACACACACACACCACCACACAAAGACGTAGATCCCCCGTGTAGCCTTAACAAACTGTTGGGGCAAGTGCTGTTAGCGAGCACCTATGAAGCCCAGAACGGCACGCGAGGGGGTGGGTGGTCAGCACCACGCCCGCCGCCTTTGTCTCCCCATTGGCGATGTTTTTACACACCGCACCAGGTACTCATTTGAGTCCGAGACGACCTTGGGAAAACCCAGGACCGGTTCAAATAATCGTCACCGGTGTTGGCCATCAGTGGGAATCGAACTCGGGTCGCCGCTTTCATCGCACAGCGCGCTGATCACTACACCACCCCCACGCACCACCCCCACGCGCCACCCCCACGCGCCACCCCCACGCGCCACCCCCACGCGCCACCCCCACGCGCCACCCCCACGCGCCACCCCCACGCGCCACCCCCCACGCGCCACCCCCCACGCACCACCCCCACGCACCACCCCCACGCACCACCCCCACGCACCACCCCCACGCACCACCCCCACCGCAGCGCTGTCGTGATGGGCAGCAACGCGACGACGACCACCCCCCCAGTGACCCTCACCTCCACGCTCCTCCCCTCCCCCCTTCCGCCCCCTTGCCTACCTAGGGAGTACCTGGACAAGGACCTGGCAGTGAGCCCCGAGGTGGCGCGCAAGTACTCGGATGCGTCGCTGGCGCGGGTGAACCGCACGCTGCGCGAGCTGCAGCGCCTCTTCCTGGTTCATGACCTCCTCGACTCCATCAAGGTCGCGACCTCGACCCACGACTCGTCAAAATCTGTCCGTCCGTTCGTTGGCGAGATGTTAACTCCCTCGCGTGGTATGCAGGAGGTCGTGGGTTCGATCCTGACCCTGACGCCTGCTGTATATCTGGAGTTTGCGTGTCTCTCTCTCTCATCATCATCATCGTAGCTATGAGATGTTAATTCCCTCGCCTGGTATACAGGAGGTCGTGGCTTCTATCCCGACCCTGACGCCTGCTGTTTATTTGGAGTTCGTGGTGTCTCTCATCCCCGTGGGTTTTTCCTCCGGGTCCTCTGGTTTTTTTCTCCCCGCATTTAGAATAAACACGCATTTAAAGTATTTGGCTGCTTTACATTGCCACGTGATGAGCCACTTTGTTGAGCTATCAATTGTGGCCAGGTCGTTTCTGTAAAAGAGCTATAGAGCTCAGTGGCCCTTACCTGGTAAAATAAAAAGTGTCTCACCGTTCTGCTTTTGTTTTGTCTGTTACGCCGTTATGTCTGTCCATCCATCTGTCTATCTGCGCGACTGTTGTCTATCTGTCACGCCGTTATGTCTGTCAGTCCGTCTGTCTATCTGCCCGATTATTGTCTGGCTGTCATCCGTCGGGGCTGTGTCCGCCTGACGCATTGTCCGACTGTTTGCGTGCCTTTTGTTCGAACCGACTGGCTATCTGAACGTTCGTTCGCCTGTTGCTCCGTACGAATCCGTCGGTAGATCACTGTCTGCCCGTCCGTCCCGCTATGTTAAAAATTCGCTCACAGTCCCTATGATCACTGTTACATTGCATTTATGGCTTTATTTTGGTGATTTCGAAAACGTTTTTTTTGTTTTGGCCATGTTTTTGTTTATTGTAGTACGGAGTTAGACTGATGGCCTTAATCTTAGTTGTCTTGTGGTTGTGGTTGTTGTTGTTATTTGACTTGCATCCCACTGGGATTTTTGCACACAGCGTTGGTGTACGGTGCTATTTCAGGAATATTTTTGATGTGTTTTTTCTGGATTTTCTGTTTGCACAGTCACATAGTCACTTTAAGATGTTTTCTTGTTCGTATTTTTGTTTTTTGTTTGTTGTGGTTGCGCCCGATTCAAGAGCCGAATGGCTCACAGGGCTACACCAAAATAAATGGAACTATCGAACTATTTAATCGTCTGTCAGTCTGACGGATCCCTTGGTCTCTCGCTCTCTTGTCTGTCTGTCAGTTTCCCTGTACAACGGTCACTCTATATGCCTGTGCGGCTCTCTCATCTCTCACCTGCCTGCTGTCCAACTGATTGTTCGCCTGTGCTGCCCCCTATGCCATCCGCAGTTTGCCGTGTTCGTCTGGCTGTTGACCTACGTGGGTGCCATCTTCAACGGCCTCACCATCGTCATCATTGGTGAGCAACATCGTCGCATCGCTCCCACCGTCGCCCGGCGTCACACACGGCGTCACACACGGTGGCCCGGCAGCACATCATACAAAGATCCCCCGTGTAGCCTTAACAAACTGTACGAGCAAGTGCTGTTAGCGAGCACCTATGAAGGCCGGAACGGTACACGAGGGGGTGGGTGGCCAGCACCACGCCCGACCGCCTTTGTCTCCCCAGTGGCGATGTTCACACACCGCACCAGGTACTCATTTGAGGCTGAGTCGACCCAGGGGAGTCCCGGGACCGGTTCAGATAATCGTCACCGGTGTTGGCTGTGAGCGGGAATCGAACCCGTGTCGCCGGGTTCGTAGCGCAGCGTAGCGCTAACCGCTACACTACCGCTCCCCACTTGCATCACACACCATCACACACGCACAAATCACTTACTCATTGATGAGTGTTGTGGCTGTTGATCTGTTATTGATGTGTGTTAATTTGTGTTGTTGTTTACAGTTGTGGTGGGGCTCTTCACCATCCCCGTTGTTTATGAGAAGCACCAGGTGAGTCGGGGGTGGGGGGGTGGAGTGCGGGAAGGGGGGGGAGTGCTGGGTGAGTGGGGGGCGGGGTGAGTGGGGGGGAAGGGCTGGGTGAGTGGGGGGCTGGGTGTAAACTTCAGCACTGGAGAGACAAAGGTGGCCGGGCGTGGCGCTGCCCACCACCACCACTCGTCTGCCACGTGCGTTTGCGTACTCGCCACCCGGCTAACCCAATGCTGACTTACTCCAAATACCCCATCGATAATCCTCCACCCGCGCAACTCCCCTTGCTGAATGGTGCGGTTACGCAAAAGGGTGGAATGGTTCCAATTCCGAGGGCAGTGTTGCTCGTGGCCAGCTCCGGTTTGGCGGCACGGCTCCGGCGGCGATTCCTGCTTCACCGGCCTGCGTGGCGCCGCGTGGAATCGCGGCCCCTGGCCCCCGCCTCCCAAGCCTCCTCGGCCACGGTCGCGGGCACCCCTCCGTCCTTCTCGACCGCGCTTGCGTAACGCGGAGCCGCTGGCCGGGAGGCCCACGCGCAGGCTTTGAAACATTCGTGCCGGGTTTATCCCGTGAGAGGCTCCGCAGATCCCTTAAAAGATCCCGGACGCCAGTCCCGGCGGTCATCTCCTCCACGAACGGGAGAGGCGCTGCGTCGTTCTGTGCCGTGGAGACCGCATGCCCAGCCGCCGGCAAGCCCGAGCAGATTCTGTCTTATTAAACTGTGAAACTAAACGGTTAATTATATTTTTTTATTCTACCAGGGAAGGTGCCAACTGAGCTACGTAGCTTTTGTTTTCAGAAGCGACTTGGCTATATCACAAACGATAGGTTTAACGGAAGTGGCTTAACATCACGTGGAAATGTATAGCATCAGGCAAATACTCCAAACGCACGCTGATTTTGACGCTAAATGTGGGAGGGAAAAATCGGAGGACCCGGAGAAAAATCCACGCGACCACAGAGAGAGAGAGACACGCCGCAAACTCCAAATATACAGCAGCAGGTGTCAAGGTTGAGATCGAACCCACGACCTCCTGCACACCAGGCGAGGTAGTCAACATCTCCTAGCCACCGTGATGATGATGAGAAAGAGAGACACGCAAACTCCAAATATACAGCAGCAGGCGTCAAGGTTGAGATCGAACCCACGACCTCCTGCACACCAGGCGAGGTAGTCAGCATCTCCTAGCCACCGTGATGATGATGAGAGAGAGAGACACGCAAACTCCAAATATACAGCAGCAGGCGTCAAGGTTGAGATCGAACCCACGACCTCCTGCACACCAGGCGAGGCAGTGAACATCTCACCACCGTGGCTCCTTCTATCAAACTGGATTGAGGGGGGCTGAACACGCGCACGGCATGGGCGAGAGAGACGGCCTGATGCAAGTTCAGGAGGAATGCGGAGCTGAGTGGACTCGCTGATGACTGGTACCAGCGGTGTCAGGACCTGACCTCTGAAGGACGCTCGCGAAGGACGCTGACTGGGCAGAGTTGGAGGCAGGCGCCCCAATACCGAGCGGAGTGCAGGGCGGCTAAAACTGCAGCGAGTTGACAGTGGGGGGAGCACAGGTGGTGGTGGTGGCGGCATCTTCCAGTCATCTCCGTTAATCATTAACACCGGGATCTGTCCCATCACGTCTTGCCAGCGAGGGCTTTCCATACTTCACGTGGCCTCACAGCGCACCTAGCCTGGCACAAGCGGCGTCGTGACGTCACCATGACTCGACAGCGAATGATGGCTGCTGTGCACGTGTGTGTGTGCGTGTGTGCGTTCGTGTTGCTGTGTGCGTGTGCGCTTGTGTGGGTGTGTGCGCGTTCGTGTTGCTGTGTGCGTGGGTGTGTGTGTGTGTGCGTGCGCTTGTGTGTGGGTGTGTGTGCGTTCGTGTTGCTGCGTGCGTGAGTGTGTGTGCGGATTCTTTTGGTTTTGAGTTTGTCGTCGCGCCAAATGCTTGTGCTTGGCAGCGCAAACCCCGCCCGTTGGGAGGGAAAAACAACGGCACGTTCCCACATGTTCACACACACACACGTGTACACACACACACGTGTACACACACACACGTACACACACACGTACACACACACGTACACACACACACGTGTACACACACACACGTGTACACACACACACGTACACACACACGTACACACACACACGTTGGCAGCTCGAACCTCACTCAGAGGCCCTGCCCCCTGCGTTCACTGGCCCTCACTTCCAGTAAATAAGCAAATTATAATACGCCACCTCCTTCTTTGTACATCTGTCCCACCGCGTATCATAAGTAGACTTTTTGTTTTTACACACGGCCTTCCAATAACAGCAACAATAATTGAGTTATTTATCAAGGTGAGCCACGCTGAGCCGTGTCGGACTGTCCATCAGGAAGATTCCCGCTGACACTTTTATTTTTCCAAGACTTTTCAGACAATTGACGACGATTCGTCGTGTTGATGATACACGCGGGGAGGAGGAAACTGGAGCACCCGGAGAAAATCCACGCCTTGCGCGAGGGGGAATCACTTAAACCCCCCCCCCCCCCCCCCCCGTATAGACGGATTAAACAGATGGCAATTGGTCCACTTGCTGTGTGTTAGCTAGCTAGCTCCCCCAGTGAGCCAGGTGTTTGTGTGCATGTTGAACTTCTTTCGCACCGTACGTAGCCAGCCGTGCTTAATTGGAGGTGTGGGGACGAAGGGCAACAAACGAAACACAAAAAAGCAGTTTTAAAGAAATGAGTTCTCAATCTAGATGATGATGATGATGATTATTTAAAAAGCGCACACAGCTCCAGTGGCTTTCCTTAACATCGGAAGGAAGAGCGCGTTCCAGACGGCCGCAGAAGCGCACCCGAAAGCGCGCGACGCGGTCACCGCCGCCGTCTCTCTCTTTTTGTCTGGCACTTTTGTTTGACGCTCGCGGCGAAAGGAGTTCCGTAGCCCATCCGTGTGGTGATCCAGGAAACTTCCCTGCGGCGACCGCGACCGGCGTAGCCACCGCCACCGCTCTCCGGGAGCGCGTTGTGTCAGCAGCGTGGCTTCAACTGAAAGAAATAATCCGACGGTGTCAAAGCCCAACTTTTTCTGAAAGCAAAAACACCAAAGGCGTCAAGGGTTAGAGCCCGCTGTCGTGGTTGTCGAAGCTGCGTCACGAACCCGGCAAACCGGAGTTCGATTCCCGACCATGGCTAAAACACGGTGGCGAGTGACTTCCCGACTGGTCCCCGGGCCACCCCTAGGTCGACTCGGCCTTCGGTGATCACCTTGCGCCGGTCACGCAACCCTGTCGTGGTTTGGGCCTTGCCGGCCTTCACGGGCCGCTGCTTGCTCGCAGCACTTGCCCCAACAGTCTGTTCATGCTATGGGGGGGGGGGGGGGGGGGGGGGGGTGCGTGTCTCCCAACACAGGCGCAGATTGACCAGTACGTTGAGCTGATCCGTGGTCACATCAACGGCTTCGTGGCCAAGTAAGTGAGCCTGCGTTTTTTATAAGTCACTCCCGTCTGTCCGCGTACGCTTGTCTCTAAACGGTGCTGCCACGCTGAAGTAACAGTCGGCAGCGTACTGCAAAGGGCGCCACGGTGGCTATGCGATGTTAACTATCTCGCCTGGTATACAGGAGGTCATGGGTTTTATCCAGACCCTGACGCCTGCTGTATATTTGGAGTTCGCGTGTTCTTCCCGTGGTTGCATGGATTTTTCAATGGGCCCTCCGGTTTTTCCCTTATCACTACTGGGGGGAGCTAGCTGGCTAACCATCACTACTGGGGGAGCTAGCTAGCTAGCCATCACTACTGGGGGGAGCTAGCTAGCTAGCCATCACCACTGGGGGGAGCTAGCTAGCTAGCCATCACCACTGGGGGGAGCTAGATAGCTAGCCAACACCACTGGGGGGAGCTAGATAGCTAACCATCACTGGGAGAGCTAGCTAGCTAGCCATCACCACTGGGGGAGCTAGCTAGCTAGCCATCACTACTGGGGGAGCTAGCTAGCTAACCATCATCACTGGGGGAGCTAGCTAGCTAACCATCACCACTGGGGGAGCTAGATAGCTAACCATCACCACTGGGGGCGCTAGCTAGCTAACCATCACCACTGGGGAAGCTAGCTAGCTAGCCATCACTACTGCTGGGGAGAGCTAGCCATGACTACTGGGGGAGCTAGCTAGCTAGCCATCACTACTGGGGGAGCTAGCTAGCCATCACCACTGGGGGAGCTAGCTAGCTAGCCATCACTACTGGGGGGAGCTAGCTAGCCATCACTACTGGGGGAGCTAGCTAGCTAACCATCACTACTGGGGGAGCTAGCTAGCTAACCATCACCACTGGGGGAGCTAGCTAGCTAGCCATCACTACTGGGGGAGCTAGCTAGCTAGCCATCACTACTGCTGGGGGGAGCTAGCTAGCTAGCCATCACTACTGGGGGAGCTAGCTAGCCATCACTACTGGGGGAGCTAGCTAGCTAACCATCACTACTGCTGGGGGGAGCTAGCTAGCCATCACTACTGGGGGAGCTAGCTAGCTAACCATCACTACTGCTGGGGGGAGCTAGCTAGCTAGCCATCACTACTGGGGGAGCTAGCTAGCTAGCCATCACTACTGAGGGAGCTAGCTAGCTAACCATCACCACTGGGGGAGCTAGCTAGCCATCACCACTGGGGGGAGCTAGTTAGCTAGCCATCACTGCTGGGGGGAGCTAGCTAGCTAGCCATCACTACTGGGGGAGCTAGCTAGCTTACCATCACTGCTGGAGGGAGCTAGCTAGCTAGCCATCACCACTGGCGGGAGCTAGCTAGCTAACCATCACTACTGGGGGGAGCTAGCTAGCTAACCATCACTACTGGGGGAGCTAGCTAGCTAACCATCACTACTGGGGGAGCTAGCTAGCTAACCATCACTACTGGGGGAGCTAGCTAGCTAGCCATCACCACTGGGGGGAGCTAGCTAGCTAGCCATCACTACTGGGGGGAGCTAGCTAGCTAGCTAACCATCACCACTGGGGGGAGCTAGCTAGCTAGCTAGCCATCACCACTGGGGAGAGCTAGATAACTAGCTAGCCATCACCACTGGGGGGAGCTAGCTAGCTAGCCATCTACTGGGGGGAGCTAGCTAGCTAGCCATCACCACTGGGGGGAGCTAGCTAGCTAGCTAGCCATCACCACTGGGGGGAGCTAGCTAGCCATCACCACTGGGGGGAGCTAGCTAGCTAGCCATCACTACTGGGGGAGCTAGCTAGCTAACCATCACCACTGGGGGGAGCTAGCTAGCTAGCCATCACCACTGGGGGAGCTAGCTAGCTAGCCATCACTACTGCCAGGGGGAGCTAGCTAGCCATCACTACTGCTGGGGGGAGCTAGCTAACTAACCATCACTACTGGGGGAGCTAGCTAGCTAGCTAGCCATCACCACTGGGGGGAGCTAGCTAGCTAACCATCACTACTGGGGGAGCTAGCTAGCTAGCCATCACTACTGGGGGGAGCTAGCTAGCTAGCCATCACCACTGGGGGAGCTAGCTAGCTAGCCATCACCACTGGGGGGGAGCTAGCTAACTAACCATCACCACTGGGGGGGAGCTAGCTAGCTAGCCATCGCTGCTGGGGGGAGCTAGCTAGCTTACCATCACCACTGGGGGGAGCTAGCTAGCTAGCCATCACCACTGGGGGAGCTAACTCGTAATCCGCACTTGCTCCAACGGTCTACACGATTTGCCGTGGAATGTTGCTACGTGTGTCTGTTTGCGCGCGTGTGCGAATACAGGGTTCAAGCCAAAATCCCTGGATCCAAACGCAAGGAAGAGTAGTCAAGTCGAAGCATACTTCACCTTCCCACGTCCCCATCTTAACACCCTTTAACCCTTCTCTTCATCGCCCCCCCCCCCACCTATCCTTCTCAAAATCTCTCAACCCCCACCCACCAACTCTCCCCCAATTTGCCTCTCCGCCTCGGACAAACCCACGTCTACTACGCTCTTCCTCCGAACGCCCGCCCGCGCGAGCACACACACACACACGTTCACACGGCACACACGCGGTTGGTTCACTCGTGCGGTTCACGCCTGTATTTTTCATTCGTTCATTCATCCAATCGGCTCATTCATCGTTCTCTACTTATTCTCCCCCCCTCCCCCCACCATGACGCAAAATACAATCCGATGCTGTTCTTGCTGTTGTCGCTGTGACGGCTATCACGTGGCTGGACTCGCAATCCCAGGAGTCGTGCCTGTTCGACTCCATCTACCCGGCGCGGCCGTTGAAACGATTTAGGCGGGTTTCGAGGAATCCCTTCCCACCCTCTGGGCCCCATCCACCACTGTGAACGGGTAAACACCACAGTGTTGGTGCAACGACAGGCCGCCTCGTGTGGTGGGGTAAAGTGTGGGTAGCTCCCCAACACCCCCCCTCCCTTCTCCCCCCACCACTCTCTTCCGATATGCTCGGCCAGCGTGGAAGAGCATGCCACAATACCATGCTTTGCCAGAGCTCCCCCTTTATCCAGCAGTGGCACGGGCACGCGCTTGCAGGGCAGCACCTTGACCCCCTGCCACGTGACGTAATCGACAAAGGGTCCGCGATGGACCCACGTATGGTCAGACCCTTGGGTTTGTGCAGACGGGCCGACACCGTTTGTGAAATGCACGTGGTGGCAGTGGTGGCGTTTGCTGTGTGGCCTCGCCGATTCGTGAAAATGATGAGACTCTAATCCTGCACACACCTGAGTTGTCACCTGGGTTAAAACAAAGTCCAACTTGTGGTTGGCATGCGGGTGCCATGGTGTGCGTGGCACACGTTAACCACTTGCGCCACTGCTCCCCATACGAGGACAAAGATCCCTCGTGAAGCCTTAACAGACTGTTGGGGCAAGTACTGTTAGCGAGCACACACACGCATGCATGCATACACAAGGACAAAGGTCCCCCGTATAGCCTTGACAGACTTTTGGAGCAAGCACACACACATCCTCGCACGTGCATGCAAATTGCTACTCTCTACCGTTGGGAGATGCTCGCTGCGTTGTGAGATGAACCGGCAAGGGGGTGGGAGGTGGTGGTGGGAGGATGATGCAACAACGATCCCCCAAGCGATTGAGATTGAATCGTCAATGGAATCGTTCGGTTATTAATGCCCAGCTCACTCGTCGAGTCGTGCGTGTGTGTGTGCGTGCGTAGGAGAACGACGACCGTAATCGATTTGCGGTGTTAACGGTGACCTGCAGTGCTCCACGAGAGAACGTAATCGGGAGTAATTTAGCGACGTTTGTACGACGTTTGTCTGTGCGCAATCCACTGCTGGATGAAGGGCCTCTCCCATGCCTGATGTGCCGGTGCAGGTTTGTGAAAGTGGGGGCGGGCGCATTAAGGTTCGAGTCGAGTACAGCACATCAATGGTTTTATTTTCTTGCCACCCCCCTGTGACGACACAATGGGCTCAGTGACGTGTTTGATGACCCGCGTGACTGGCTCGTGGAAACTGCATGGCCACCGCCACTATCGATTCTGCACACACACACCTTAAAATCAATAAATAAAAATAGAATCGTGAGCCGATTCGTCGAATTCTGTAAAGGCAATGGATAGTTACATGGGCCAGAGGATTACGGTTTAAATTCAATGTAGTAATAATATTAATAGTTACAAATCAATAGAATACTTGTCAACCCATACGGTTTAACCCCGTATTCTTGAGGCAAATTGAGCTTTCAGGTCCATACGGCGTACAGCCGTTTCAATGCGGGGCAAACATGTTTCTGTCGATTTGTGCTTTCTCCCTTATGATGGGACTTTGTAGGACGAACGTTGAGATTTATAAGGGGCACGGGGTGAACAACAACAATGTCTGAATTGTTCTGTAGTAAGGTAGCGCACTGATCAGGGGGGGTTACAGGCATGCAATGGCCCGCCGCAGTTTCTCACGTGCGCGAGGTGTCCACAAAGGGGAGGTTTGTGGGAGTAGCCACCGGGGTTGATCTTTGATCGACGCGAGCATGCACGAGGCCGCGTGTATGCGCAGGTTTTTGTCAGTTGCCACGTGCGCGCGACTAGAACGCGCTGTGACGTCACAACCCAGCCTAGCGCAACGGACGGCACCGTTACCAATCGGTTTCCCCCACCACTATACCACCCCCCCTCTCCCCCCATACCCACCCCCTGTAACCCCTCCCCCCCCTTCCCAACACCTCTCTCTGAAAACCTCAAAACTTATCATGACAAGCAAAAAAAAATCAAACAAAAACCTCCCAGCGGATTTTCATGTTTCTTCCCTCTATCCGTGTTTAGTACACGACCCCCCCAGCTGCCCCGTATATTTCAGTAGAAATTGAATGACTTTCATCATGGCCATAACGTAATGATTTTGAGTCCACGTGGCCACAACCTTCTTGACGCGTTCGTGTATACCCTGGAATGTTTAATCTCGTCGTTTAAAACATAACATTTTTATTTTGTTTGGTTCTGCTGATGTTCTTATCGTGCTGCGGTTTGTTATGTCCGGTTGTAAAGATGCTAGCTGATTTGACGGTATTATATTATTTTCTAGCTATTTCTTTCTTTCTCTCGCTGTTTTAATGCGTGCGATGATGATTATAGTTGTGATGTCGACGATCGATGATGACGACGACGACGACGACGTTAATGATGACGTGGAATTGTTCCTCTTCCCCGTGTTGTGCTGACAATGGAACGTGGATTTCGTTTGTCTCGAAAAATAAAAAAAGGAAAGCTAATGAAACGGGGTTCAAGCCGACTTGCAGGAAACGCTCCGCCGTGTCCGCATTCACTCGGGTCACTCGCAGGGATTATTTCAACACGGTATCTGCTCATCGTTCTCGTGGAGACGGAGAGAGAGAGGACGACTCGAAGGGGGACAGGAGGAGGAATCGCCGAGACGAGGAGGAAGGCAGCGGCGGCCACGCGTTGAGCAGCCGGCGTTCAATTCCCCTCCCGAGCTCTGCGATCCTCTATGCGAGAAGGTGTTTATCGGCCGATTACAGTCATCGTGAGCGTTCGTACACGTGGGAAGAAACCGGAGCACCTCCGATTAGCGCGGTTGGCTACGTGTGAAAGTTCAACAAGCATACGGAGTACCCACGCGAGGGGACAACGCTCTATCTCGTACATAAGAGACAGGCGGCGTCTGCATTTGCTGTATGACCGCTTTCTCGTGACGAGCCAAGATACGGCTCTTCTCGTCGACGGCCAGGGACGAAAGGAGTTTCACAACATCAGTGTGTGTGTGATCCACCAATCCTGCTGTCTCCACACAGTGCTGGATTACAGGCCACGTGCGAACGAATGGAGCCACCACCGTCCAGAGTTAGCAGAGATTAGTTCGGGAACAGAGATGCTGGCTGAGTCGGAGCAGCTGCTTTTAGCCGCCCAAAGACGGCGATTCAACTCGTGTTCTCTTTGGGGCTCGAGTGAGCTGACCATCTCAGCCTGGTGACCAATTACTGCACCAACAACCCCCCCCCCCCACCACCCCATCGTCTTAGATGAGTCTAACTCTCAGAGCGATGTCCGAGATTATTTTTAAAGTGACCTCTGGTCAACACAGATCCCCCGTGCAGCCTTTAAACAGATTGTTTGAGGCAAGTGCTGTTTGCGAACGCCTGTGATGATGATAACCATAATCACCTATGAAGGCCGGCATGGCAAACGAGGGGGTTGGTGGGTCAGCACCACGCCCGGCCGCCTTTGTCTCTCTCGTGGCAATGTTTTACACACCGCACCAGGTACTCATTTGAGGCTTAGGCGACCTGGGCGAGGCCCAGGATCGGTTAAGATAATCGTCATTGGTGTTGGCCGTGAGCGGGAATCGAACTCGGATCGCTAGGTTCGTAGCGCAGCGCGCTAACCGCTACACTACCGCTCCCCACAGGTCACCCAAACAAAGACAAAGATTCCCCCGTATAGCCTCAACAGACTGCTGGGGCAAGTGCTGTTAGCGAGCACCTATGAAGGCCGGCACGGCACATGCGGGAGTCGTTGGACCAGCACCTGGTACTCATTTGAGGCTGAGTCGACCTAAGCGAGGCCCAGGACCGGTTCGGATAATCGTCACCGGCGTTTGGCCGTGAGCGGGAATCAAACTCGGGTGGCCGGGGATTCGTAGCACCTGCGCCTCCGCTCCCCCGCAGTAGGGGGTGGGAAGCAGGTCCCCACACCCAGCCAGCGTACGAGAGTCAATGTCTGTCGCATTGACAAGTAAAATTCACACATTTTGTGTGAATTTCCCGAGATCAGGGGGGGCCGGGGGCCCGCGTCCCCCACAATTCCGTTATTGAAATTAAGTTGGGGTTGGGGGGGGAAGAGTGAGAAAGACACCGACCGAGTAAGTGCAGTCGTTTGTGGCTAGGCTCAAGACCATCGCTCGCTCCGCTTGAGAATAAGCGCGCTTTAACCCATGGAGGTTGGCGCGGTTTAAATAATCAGGAATTGAACACTCAGGAGGGATGTCAGCAAGCTCCATCTGATCGTCGGTGAACTGCCAAGGGGGTTGAGTTTGTTCACGGGGGTTGAGTGACCAGAGCGTTCGCCAGGCCCACTTCGTTTTTATGTAATTATATTCTTTGGGTCGTCTTCACCTTCACCTGAAGACGACTGCTTGTGTTGCGATCGAAACATGATATTGTATTTTTTCCATCTACGTGGCTTTACCGAAAGACCCGAAGAACATTAATGCCTGCAGTCACGAAAGCTTTAAGTTCTGATGTAATTCTCGTCAATTGTGATGGAGTGGGATTGGACTGATTGAGCTTGGCTTTTGAAACTTTTAACCCAACCATCACCGGGGAGCGAGCCATGATTCGCCAAAGCCAGGGGTGGGGAACCTTTTTTCTGCCAAGGACCATTTGGATATTTATAACATCCTTCGCGGGCCATACAAAATTATCAACTTAAAAATTAGCCTGTTATATTTGATCTTGATTTTATGCTTCCGTGACTGCAGGAATCCATACTCTTTGGTTCTTTCGGTAAAGTCACGTAGGTAGAAAATAAAACAAAATAAATCACGACGTTTCGATCGCAACACAAGTGACCGTCATCAGGCGGAACCGATACAGCAGGACAACTGCTGATTTAGGAGAAAGATCTGCTAACAACAAGAGTTTATAAAGGGTTTTGGTGGGCTCAAGCCCATGGGTAAGTGGCCGGAGCTAGAGAAGGAAGAAAGGGTGGAGGCAAGGAGGGAGGGAAGGGGGGAGTTGGGCACAGGTAAGAGATGGAAGCTGGGTTAGTGATGCTAATGCGATAAAAAATAGCATGTCAATGGTACAGGATCCTGCAGCGTTGGCTGCCGCGCTGTGAGAGGAAAGCGTTTTTTCTCACATTAGCATCACTGACCCAGCTTCTCTCTACCTTCCATCTACTACCTGTTATATTTGGTCAAACATTTAATTAACTCACCCCTAATGTGATGGCTGGAACTGCTTCTCTTTGGCGAGGCGTGTGATGATGTCAGCTGGTATTGACGATGTTGCTGCTACTCGCAACTGCTTTTCCAGGTTTGCTCATATGATTTATTGAATTTCGAGTCCCCGCCTGCGATTGCCTTGGCAGGGCCAGAGACCCAAATTATTTCGTGGGTCCTCTACGGCCCGCGGGCCGGACGTTCCCCACTCATGGCGAGCTAAGATTGCTCCGTGTTGCTTGTTACTTCAACGTGAACGGAAAACGATAGACGCGCAACGTAAATGTGTCTGTGTCGTGGCGCGAAGCGCTGCGATCGGGCAGCACAGCAGAGGCGATTCGCGTGCGGAATTCTTGTGAGATCGAGAAGAGACGACGTCTCTCTGCGGTCATTGCGTTATTTTGTCTGTGGTGAGGGTGTGGATGAGGTGGTGAGGGTGTGGATTAGGGGGCGAGGGGGTGGTGAGGTAATGAGTGGGGAATCGGCAAACAAACACCCTCTGTTGCCAGGTAACGCCAGATCAGCATTGGGAGAGGTCGATACTCCTTTGAAAATGAAACCAATGGGATTTAAATGATCGTCGTTGTCGTCATCACCACCACCACCACCATTGTCGTCGTCACCATTGTTGTCATCGTCTTCATCATCATCATCATCGACAACAACCGCCATTCGCTACGCGTCACAGCGGCGCTTTGTGCACTTTAAGACCATCATCATCGCCACCACCACCACCTTATCCACATACACGGTCATCATCATCATCACCACTATAATCATTATCATCACCTGGTTACGCACGTGCACACTACGATGAGATTTCTGTGCCACGTCGCTCACTTTAGCCGCTCTTTGTTGTGAGCGTCGCTCCCCTTTTTTTGCTGTAAGCCTCCAGCAGACTGCAAGCAAGACCGGCACCGACACAACAACAACCGCCATTCGTCACTAAGTGGCGGTGACGTCACCACGACGCTTGTGCCAGGCCATGTGCACCTTGAGGCCACGTGAAGTGTCGAACGCCCCCTGGCAGGAGGTCACGGGGCAGACCCAGCAGGTACCACGGGTCGACTGACTGAGATGACTGAGATGACTGGCTGGTGCACCACCTGTGCCCCCTACTGTGCCAACTTGCTGTGCTTTAGCCACCCGGCGCTCCGCTCGTTGTGAGCGTCGCTCCTCCGCCCTCCGTTGTTGTTGGAGGGCGACTGCCTCCAACTGCCCAGTAGCGTCCTTCACGAGCCTCCTCCACAGAGGCCGATCTTGACACCGCTGGTACCAGTCATCGGCAAGTCCACTCAGCTCCACGTCCTCCTGTACCACATCACTCCATCTCTTCTCTAGCCCGTGCCGCGCCCGCTTAGCCCCCTCAATCCGGCCAAACAAAAGCTGTTTCGGCATGCGGTGGCTGGGCATGCGGGCTACATGACCCAGCCATCGCAGTCTTGCCCGCCGGAGGAGCTCACCGATGGGACCTTGCCCAGATCTTTCAAGGATTTGTGAGCTCCTCACACAATCCAGCCTGGTTAAACCCAGGATGGATCGTAGGCAGGCCAGCCTAAATGTTTCTAACCGGCGAAGATGTTCCATTAGGGGGGGGGGTCAACGTTAGAAAAGTGTAGAGAAGGGAGGGAATGACCGTGGCCGAGACGACCCGAAGCAAACACGCCCGTGCGTGTCTCGGCGTGAGACAATTGGGTAACCTGCATTCCGCCGGGCGCATCGGGTACACTACCAAAAGCGAACTTCCAACTCACTCGCCGGGTACCGCAGTTTACCGACCCGGTAGAGGGTAGCGAGCGTGGGGGCAGGCGTATGGGTGCCTTGCAAGTTCGTAGTTAGATACAGGACTTGGTTTATTGGTATGGATTCCTGCAGTCACGAAAGCTTCGAATCAAGATTGGTTTATTGGTGTTTGTTTATTTTCAGTGACCTGCTCACCATTCCGATACTTTGCACTAACCATCGGTGTTTCGTCGAGATTCCGATTCACGCGGCCTCCGAGTGCACCTAGCCTGGCACAGGCACTGGTGGTGACGTCACTTCTGTGGCGAGCGGGCGGCTGTTTTTAGTGGGGGGGGTGTGGTGGTGGTGGGGGGGGGGGTGGTGAGGGGGGGGGGTGGTGTGGTGGTGGTGGGGGGGTGTGGCGGTGGGGGGGGGAGTGTGGTGGTGGTGGGGGGGTGTGGTGGTGGTGGGGGGGTGTGGTGGTGGTGGGGGGTGTGGTGGTGGTGGGGGGGTGTGGTGGTGGTGGGGGGGTGTGGTGGTGGTGGGGGGGTGTGTGGTGGTGGTGGGGGGGTGTGGTGGTGGTGGGGGGGTGTGGTGGTGGTGGGGGGTGTGGTGGTGGTGGGGGGTGTGGTGGTGGGGGGGGTGTGGTGGTGGGGGGGTGTGGTGGTGGTGGGGGGGGTGTGGTGGTGGTGGGGGGGTGTGGTGGTGGTGGGGGGGTGTGTGGTGGTGGTGGGGGGGTGTGGTGGTGGTGGGGGGGTGTGGTGGTGGTGGGGGGTGTGGTGGTGGTGGGGGGGTGTGGTGGTGGGGGGGGGTGTGGTGGTGGGGGGGTGTGGTGGTGGTGGGGGGGTGTGGTGGGGGGGGGGGGGGTGGTGGTGGTGGGGGGGTGTGGTGGCTGGTGGGGGGGTGTGGTAGGTGGTGGGGGGTGTGGTGGTGGTGGGGGGGTGTGGTGGTGGGGGGGGGGGTGTGGTGTGGTGGGGGGTGTGTGGTGGTGTGTGGGGGGGTTTGTTGGTGGTCGGGGGGTGTGTGGTGGTGGTGGGGGGGTGTGGTGGTGTGGGTGGTGTGGTGAGTTGGTGGGGGGTGTGGTGGTGTGGTGGGGGTGTGGTGGTGGGGGGGGTGTGGTGGTGGGGGGTGTGTTGGTGGGGGGGGGTGGTGGTGGTTGGTGGGGGGGTGTGGTTGGTGGTGGTGGGGGTTGTGGTGGTGGTGGGGGGGTGTGGTGGTGGTGGGGGGGGTGTGGAGTGGTGGTGGGGGGGTGTGTGGTGGTGGGGGGTGTTGGTGGTGGGGGTGGGGTGGTTGGGCGGGGGAGGGGGGTGGTGGTAGGTGGTGGGGGGTGGGGTGTTGGGTGGGGGGGTTGGGGTGGTGGTGGGGGGGTGTGGGTGGTGGTGGGGGGGGTGTGGTGGTGGTGGGGGGTGTGGTGGTGGTGGGGGGGTGTGGTGGTGGGGGGGGGTGTGGTGGTGGGGGGGGTGTGGGGGTGGGGGGGTGTGGTGGTGGTGGGGGGGGTGTGGTGGTGGTGGGGGGGTGTGGTGGTGGTGGGGGGGTGTGGTGGTGGTGGGGGGTGTGGTGGTGGTGGTGGGGTAGTGGTGGTGGTGGGGGGGGTGTGGTGGTGGTGGGGGGGGGTGGTGGTGGGGGGGGTGTGGTGGTGGGGGGGTGTGGTGGTGGGGGGGGGGGTGTGGTGGTGGTGGGGGGGTGTGGTGGTGGTGGGGGGGTGTGGTGGTGGTGGGGGGGTGTGTGGTGGTGGTGGGGGGGTGTGGTGGTGGTGGGGGGGTGTGGTGGTGGTGGGGGGTGTGGTGGTGGTGGGGGGGTGTGGTGGTGGGGGGGGGTGTGGTGGTGGGGGGGGTGTGGTGGTGGGGGGGTGTGGTGGTGGTGGGGGGGGTGTGGTGGTGGTGGGGGGGTGTGGTGGTGGTGGGGGGGTGTGGTGGTGGTGGGGGGTGTGGTGGTGGTGGGGGGGTGTGGTGGTGGTGGGGGGGGGGTGGTGGTGGTGGGGGGGTGTGGTGGTGGGGGGGGTGTGGTGGTGGGGGGGTGTGCCGGCCTTCATAGGTGCAACTCGCTAACAGCACTTGCCCCTACAGTCTGTTGAGCCTACACGGGGTGGGGGCGGGAGGAATCTTTGTCTTTGTAGTGGGGGGAAGAGGGGGGTTGATGTGGTGGGGAGAAGGGGGTGGAATGAGATGGGTAGTGGGGGGGAGAGGGGAGGGTGGGGTGGGGGTGGGGTGGGGGAGGGGATGGTGGGGGAGGGGGTGGTGGGGGAGGGGTTGGTGGTGGGGGAGGGGAGGGGGTGGTGGGGGAGGGGAGGGGGTGGTGGGGAGGAGAGGGGGTGGTGGGGGAGGGGAGGGGTTGGTGGTGGGGGAGGGGAGGGGCCGGGGTTGGACTCTGCACAAAGAAATTAATTCCTACGTCAGCCGATCCGAGCACGCTTTGGAGTGGCACGCCGCGTGTGTGAAGTCGGCCACATTGCGTTGTCTGCAGGTCTCGACACGCTCCGGCCTATTAGACTGCCCACAGATAGACACACACAGACGTACACACACACACAGACGTACACACACACACATAGAGTACGTAACAGCATCCCACAGATAGACACACGCACACGCACGCATGCATTATACACACAGAGTATATAACGTCAGCCGCCATTAGCTAAGTGGCGGTGACGTCATCGCAATGCTTGTGCCAGGCTAGGTGCACACGTACCACTGCCTCAATAACAACACACGGAGACACAGACACACGCACACACACACACATCCAGCAGTGTACAGACACCACGTGCAACAACAGCAGTCCCACTGTACGTAGTCACACACAAACATACACATGTACGTACAGTGACATAATAGAGGAATACACACGTGCATAGTCACACACACACAAACATACACGTGTACGCACAGTCACATAATAGAGGAATACACACGTGCATAGTCACACAGGCATACATACATACATACTTGCATTCAGTCACACACACACAGGCATATACATACTATATGTTGTAAAACACAAGAAACATACTAGGCCTCAATAGCATTACATACAGCACACCACACATACGTATACAGAGACAAACATAGACATATATACATTCACGTATACAGTACGACGTACGTACTGTACATGAAAACTGCAGGCCACTTAGAGCCTTCGTGTATTAGCTTGCCCAGACACACACTCACACGCACTGTACAAAGATAGCACGTATAGTGTGAACACATACACTGTGTACATACACACTGTACATACATACAGTGTGTACATACAGACATACACTGTGCACATACACACATACAGTGTGTACATACACACATAGTGTGTACATACACACATACAGTGTACATACAGTGTATACATACAGTGTGTACATACACACATAGTGTACATACACATGCACACAGTGTGTACATACATACAGTGTGTACATACACTTGTACAGTGTGTACATACGTGAACATATACAGGGTGTATATACGCACACACATGTAAAGTGTGTACATCCATACAGTGCACATTCACACTGTACATACGTAAACATATACAGTGTGTACATACGTAAACATATACAGTGTATAAACATATACAGTGTATACACATACAGTGTGTACACATATACAGTGTGTACACATATACAGTGTGTACACATACAGTGTGTACACATATACAGTGTGTACACATATACAGTGTGTACACATATACAGTGTGTACACATGCACACGCTAGACAAAGATCTCTCGTAAAGCCTTTGTCAGGCTGTGGCAAGTGTTAACGATTATCTATTAAGGCTGGCTTAAACACACATACACAAATACACACGTACACATACACGTATACTTACATACAAATACACACTACACATACACACACACGTATACTTAAATACAAATACACACGTACACATACACGTATACTTACATACAAATACACACTACACATACCCACACATATACTTACATACAAATACACACGTACACATACACGTATACTTACATACAAATACACACGTACACATACACGTATACTTACATACAAATACACACGTACACATACACGTATACTTACATACAAATACACACTACACATACACACACGTATACTTACATACAAATACACGTTCACATACACGTATACTTACATACAAATACACACTACACATACACGTATACTTACATACAAATACACACGTACACATACACGTATACTTACATACAAATACATACTACACATACCCACACATATACTCACATAAATACACACGTACACATACCCACACGTATACTTACATACAAATACACACTACACATACACACACGTATACTTACAAATACACACTACACATACACACACGTATACTCCCATACAAATACACACGTGCACATACTAAAACGTATACTCCCATACAAATACACACGTACACATACCCACAAATATACTTACAATACAAATACACACGTACACATACACACGTATACTCCCATACAAATACACACTACACATACACACACGTATACTCCCATACAAATACACACTACACATACACACACACGTATACTTACATACAAATACACACTACACATACATAGACGTACACTCCCATACAAATACACACTACACATACATAGACGTATATCTACATACAAATACACACATACCCACACGTATACGGTCGACACGCACACACACACACAGAGTGTCCGCTATTGACACATCAGCTGTTCAGCAAGTCACTGCCCTCTGCATTAAACACAACAACAGCAGCGAGGACATTAACACCCCGAGGGCGGCGGTGGTGGTGGTGTTGGTGGTGGGAATCCGCAACAACGGCCGACAGAGAGAGGAAGAAGAAGAGGGGGAGGTGGTGGGGAGGAGGAGGAGGAGACCAAGAGGACGAAGACGAGGAGAGAAGAGAGGAGAAGTTCCTGTGGGAATTTGAGAGCAAGAGGCGACATTGGCGAAAAGGTAAACGCCAGAAGGTAACGGATGAGGAGACGGTGGCTAGCAAGGGGAGCGGTGGCAGCGCTGGTGCGGCGGCAGGAGACGCCACGAAGCTTGGAGGAGGGAACTTTGGAGAACGTCTTCGTAGTGCGGCTGGGTCATCATTGGGATACCTCTCTGATCGAGCTGGGCAGGTGAGATGTATCTGTGTGCTGATTGCGCCGTGTCTATGTGCTGATTGCGCTGTGTGCTGATTGCGTCGTGTCTGTGTGCTGATTACGCTGTGTCTGTGTGCTGATTACGCTGTGTCTGTGCTGATTGCGCTGTGTCTGTGTGCTGATTGCGCTGTCTGTGTGCTGATTACGCCGTGTCTGTGCTGATTGCGCTGTGTCTGTGTGCTGATTGCGCTGTGTCTGTGTGCTGAATGCGCCGTGTCTGTGTGCTGATTGCGCTGTGTCTGTGTGCTGATTGCGCCGTGTCTGTGTGCTGACTGCGCTGTGTCTGTGTGCTGATTGTGCTGTCTTTGTGCTGATTGCGCTGTCTGTGTGCTGATTGTGCTGTCTTTGTGCTGATTGCGCTGTCTGTGTGCTGATTGCGCTGTGTCTGTGTGCTGATTGCGCCGTGTCTGTGTGATGATTGCGCTGTGTCTGTGTGCTGATTGCGCCGTGTCTGTGTGATGATTGCGCTGTGTCTGTGTGCTGATTGCGCCGTGTCTGTGTGCTGATTGCGCTGTGTCTGTGTGATGATTGCGCGTGGACCGCCGTTGGCGAGACGCGAGCGGCCGTTTGTGCCGTGGGGCGCCCGATGCTTGGGGGTGGTGGTGGAGGTGGTGGTGGTGGTGATGGTGGTGGAGGTGGTGGAGGTGGTTGTGGAGGTGGTGGTGGAGGTGGTGTAGGTGATGGTGGTGGTGGTGGAGGCGGTGGTGGCGGCGGTGTAGGAGGTGGTGGAGGTGGTGGTGTAGGTGGTGGTGGTGGACGTGGTGGTGGACGTGGTGGTGGTGGAGGCGGCGGTGGTGGAGGCGGCGGTGGTGGTGGTGGAGGTGGTGGCGGTGGAGGTGGTGGAGGTGGTGATGGTGGTGGAGGAGGTGGTGGAGGTGGTGGTGGTGGTGGCCGTCTTCTTGACGCGTGCGTGGTCAGATCGTCGTTGTGCTTCCGTGGCTATGTTGGTGGGGCGGTGTGATACGTGGTATGGTGTGATACGTGTTGCGGTGTGATGCGTGGTATGGTGGTGCGGTGTGATACGTGGTGTGGTGTGATGCGTGGTGCGGTGTGATACGTGGTTGGTGGTGCAGTGTGTTACGTGGTGCGATGTGATGCGTGGTGCGGTGTGATGCGTGGTTGGTGGTGCAGTGTGTTACGTGGTATGGTGTTCATGATGTCCTTTTAAAATGCGTGGCCTGGTACAGTAACGTGAGCTGTTGATGCGTAGGTGACCCGCGCGTGGCGTGTGTAGCCTACGCAGAGGCCAGGACTGTTCGCGAGCACCTATTAATACATACACACACACGTGTTACACACGAGCTATTGGACACTATGAATGCGTGGTGGATGTGTGGTTGCTTGCGCGTGTTGTGGTTGTGCTCTGGGCGCAATGGGTAACGCGAACCCGGCCTCCTGAGTTCGATTCCAAGACCACGGCTGATATATCGGTGGCGATGATCTTATACATCGACCTTGGTGGTGGGGGGGCAGGGGCTACTGCCTAGGTCAGTCTCACTGCTTCTTCTTAACCTGGGGGTGCACGCAGCCCCCCCACATTAGGGGGCGAGAGAGGGGGGGGGGTGCGAGACATGTCCACATGTTTTTTTTCGAAGGCAAATAAATAATCGAAAACACAAATGAAGCAACAACCTCGTTTCAACAAACCCTACGTATTTATTAACATCATACTACATGTTTTGTAACGAATTATAACCTAAAAAGGAGGATGGGGGGTGTGCAAAGGCTGCAGCAGTAAAAGGTCACAAGAACCACACCACACGTGGCATTTATTTAACGTGAACACGCCGACTGATGGCCATCGTGTCCCGCGCCTTAATAGGTGCTCGCAAACATCAATTGACCCACAAAATTAAGTTAAAGCCACACATAAACACGGCGACGGGGGTTGGGGGGGGGAGGTGTTTGTACAGAAGTTTAGAAAGGTTTCTCTACCGTTGACCACACTGTTACACATAGATGATGTACTGCATACCTGTCAAACCGGACGGTTTAAACCTTATTCTTGTATAGGGTAATTGAGTGTTTAAAAACAACAAAGTGTGTGTCGTATATATTCCACCGCGGTTCGGTCGTGAGAGTTTGTGTTTCTCACATGGCCATACTTCACCACGCTGGTCAATGCGGGTTGTGTGTGTGTGTAAGGGGGGGGGGTGTTATTACACGGATGGGGAGCGGTGGTGGTGTGGTTAGCGCTACGCTGCGCTACGAACCTGGCCACCCGAGTTAGATTCGAACACAACACCCGGTGACGTTTATTCTGAACCGGTTCTGGGCCTCCTCTAGGTCGACTCAGCCTAAAATGAGTACCTGGTGCCATGTGGTAAACATCGCCACTCGGGGAGACAAAGGCGGCCGGGCGCGGTGTTGGCCACCCACTCCCTCGTGTACCTTCATAGGTGCTACTCGCTAACAGCACTTGCCCCTACAGTCTGTTAAGGCTACACGGGGGGGGGGGTGGATCTTTGTCTTTGTTATTACACGAGAGAGGGGGGAGGTGCCCCCCCCCCCCCCCCGTGGGCGTTCGGATTTCATTCGCCACTGATGTTAGCCGTGAGCCAGGAATGTCATGACCACCAACGCACGGATCATTGCCGCTCGGGCTTTCTGCTGCCACTCTCCACTTGCGCGCTCGCCGTCAGTCTGTTCCTCGTCGTCGGCGCCTTCACCGGAGGTAAATATCATCATCATCATCACCATCATCATCACCATCATCATCATCACCATCATCATCATCACCATCATCACCATCATCATCACCATCATCATCACCATCATCATCACCATCATCACCATCATCATCACCATCATCACATCATCACCATCACCACCATCATCATCATCACCATCACCACCATCATCACCATCATCATCACCATCATCATCACCATCATCACCATCATCATCACCATCATCATCACCATCATCATCATCACCATCATCATCACCATCATCATCATCACCATCATCATCACCATCATCATCATCACCATCATCATCACCATCATCATCATCACCATCATCATCACCATCATCATCATCACCATCATCATCATCACCACCATCATCACCATCACCATCATCACCATCACCACCATCATCATCATCATCACCATCATCATCACCATCATCACCATCATCATCACCATCATCATCATCACCATCATCACCATCTCCATCATCACCATCATCATCACCATCATCACCATCATCATCACCATCATCACCATCATCACCATCACCACCATCATCACCATCATCACCACCATCATCACCATCACCACCACCATCACCATCACCACCACCATCATCACCATCATCACCACCATCATCACCACCATCATCATCACCACCATCATCATCACCACCATCATCACCACCATCATCACCACCATCATCATTATCACCACCATCACCATCATCATCGCCACCATCATCATCATCGCCACGGTCACACCATCATTAGTCGTCGTCCATACCCTATCCACTGCTGGATGAAGGCATCATCATCATCACCACCATCATCACCATCATCATCACCACCACCATCATCATCACCACCACCATCATCATCATTCTCACCGCCACCACCACCACAAGCAGCAACCTGCCTCAATGCCTTCGCAATCACCGACGCTGTCGCGATGTCATCGTTGGGACTGTTTCGTACAGTCATGTACACACTGTACTTGTCGTTACATAATCATCATCATCAGTTACGATAAGCTCATATGCGGTACTAATCAGAATTCGAGGATACGGTCCTGTGTATGTATACTGGTGTAGCATACATAATCATTACAGTCCGTCTAAGTTGTACACTGTATCGTTATCTAGGATGTACATTGTCACCACCACCATCATCATCATCTTTAACTTCATCAACATCGTTTATACCTTCGTTATCTACATTATCTATATCATCAGCCATCACTTCATCATCAGTAACTTATCGTCTACATCATCATCATCTATAAGTTAACATGTGCGCAGTATATCAATGCCATTGCTGCTGTACCATCACCTAAGCATCGTCCTCATGCACACAGTTACACTTTATACATCTTTACAACATTTACTTCATCGTATAATCATCATTGCATGCATTAGTGAACATTCACCTCGTCTGTATACATATCGTTATCATGTTAAGTTGTATCGTTTAGGCATCGTTATCACGTGCACGTTACAGTACACTGTATATCGTAGAACGTTAAGAATTGTTATTAAACATCGTCATAATCGATACATCTGCTATTTAAATGTTATACTATATATACTATAATTGTAAGGAATATATCAAAGTGTCAACATTGTACTGCTCGTCATCTGTCGCTCTAAATATTTTAATATTCATGAAGAATGCATTAATGTCACGTGGAATTATCTTATAATTGTGTGGAATATAAATATCATTAATATCAACTTAAGTGACGGTCATCTATAGCCCTACGAGAAGTCAATATTCATGCAGAATGCGTCTTTATCACGGACATATATATGTTCTAATATACTATACTGTATCGTTGTGTGCACACTACAGTACTGAATAATATACTGTAATGGCATAACTTCCTCGCTATCGGAATAGGTTTTACCCTTTTAACTGGCACAAAAACTGACACCTTTATTCAAGGCATCATGTTTGCAAAAACCACAACACAAGCAGTCAGAATGCAAACAAAAAAGACAACTCTGACAGTGCATATTATCAGAGTTGTCTTTTTTGTTTGCATTCTGACTGCTTGTGTTGTGGTTTTTGCAAACATGATGCCTTGAATAAAGGTGTCAGTTTTTGTGCCAGTTAAAAGGGTAAAACCTATTCCTATATCTTGTTTCTGGCAAAGGAGGTCTCATAATGTAAATTCCTCGCTATCATCATCTAGGACATCCAATTAATTGCGACGGGTTACTTGTTATCTAGGATGTTATCATCATCGTCCTTGACTGTATTTGTGTCCAGAGTGCATAATAAT